TTTGTGGTTTGTGGTTGATGAGACAAGGAATGACAGAAGGTTTGCAGAAAGGTTCTGGTGAAGCAAGACTTGCCTGATATGGGTTTCTGTGTGGGAAATCATGGTTGTTTGGGTTGAATGACTCGCCATTTTCAGCAGTGGGAGAGTGGAAACCAACATCACATGCTATTAATTTCTATGCTGGATAGGGTAAAAAAGGGTGGAGCTTTCTGATAGGGTTGTTGGATGACGAATTGGCAAAGATCTCTTGTTGTTTTTCTAAAAGGGTTTCTGGGATTTTGCGGTGGAGAAGAGAAGGAAGGAAGCATGTGAGTGAGTGGGACTGTGATTGCAGAGAGCAGAGCAGAATTATGATTGGTCGCTGTTCTAGCAATTATCGTATGGGGACAATTTTCTTTTTTCTTTTTCTTGGGTGATGATGGTGGTGGCCTGGTGGGGTTAATTGCCGTTTCGGTCACTACTTTTATATTCATTGTTCATTTGCCTCACCAAATTCTTCTGCTTGCAACCATTGGTTTCTAGAAGGTGATTGGTGAAGTACACTTTATTAGTTTAGCTTCCCAAATACTTATGCAACTTTCTTACTGATTAATCAGTTAATATACTCACTGATTTTCATATTACATTTTGAAGCATGAATGCCAAATTATGTGAGTCCTACCATTAATTCATACGAGCCAAACAATGTACGAGTTCTTACAAAATACAAATCAATCTACAATATACATGAGTTCTCTTTTAACGCATGAATTCTACGTTAAATGCTTACCACGCAACTCCTTAAGGTTATGAACTTAAAATGTTTATTTGCTCAAGTCTCGGAGTTGCTAAGAAGATGTGGTTGGTCATGACGGTGTTCAGCATGGCTAGTTGTGTTGTCTGATCGATATCATTTTTGTCGTTGTCGCAAGAAGGTTTACGAGGAAGGCTGACTAAATTGCTCGATCTTTTTATATGAATGTGCCTCGTAACTTAATCTAGATCATTCATCAAACAACATCCATGTGATTTGGAAATCGAGTTTAATTTCTTTTCTTTTTTTTTTGTTTGAATTGTAGGGATCTTGTATGGTTATATACTTATGGGAGTTGAAAGATGGTTTTTTTTTTTGTTTATCGATGTTCGAATTGCAAGGATAACGTAGATCATCTAAAATCTTCGTACGTCTAAACTATTCGATAGGTGCTAACTCACTTGTACGATAGTGGTCAAGCACAAACGTACCATTAGCAAAATCAAAATTAACTCTTCACTTGAACTTGAACTTTCAAATGACCTAAACACTTAGTCTATAGTAACTATTTATTTTAAGTGTGAAAAGAATAATGTGAAAGAAATTAATAAGCGATAGTGATGGCCTATGAATAATCAAAATGTCTAACTCATCGCATGGTTCCTTAATTTAACCATTGTTTCTAGATGTATTTGTTATATAAATTTATTTAATTAGCCTAATCACTGCACCCATGTGTTTAAAGTTAAAATAATGGGTGCTAAATATCAACCTTTATCCTTCATTGATTCCATTTTACTCTACTTTCCACACACTTCTTTATGTTTATTTTAATAAAATACTTGGGCTGTCACCAACCATCTCAATAATAACTTTGATGAGAATCTCATCCAAGGCTAATCAAACATGTTTAAGTGCAATCAACAATGGCCAGGCTATATAGAAAAATTAAACAATATTATCATGTGTGAATGATATTAACATAAAGTCGACCTAGTCAGCATTCATGTTGTGTTAATCATATTCATAGCAAAATTACCATGTGTATAGCCATCCTAATCATAAATTTTATTGTTTAACATCCCAATTTTTATTTGTATCGTTCATATTTCAAAAGGAAAGTTTAACATACCAATAATTAATGAAATTTTTTACCTTACAAAATACCGAAATGGTCGATAACGAGACCGAACTTATCCAACACCGTGCCAAAGCCAAAAACATACAAAACATCAAGTGGGTGGCTCAAAATAAATAAATAAATGTTGTATGGACCTACTTGTGAAAGTGGTGGATATATTTCAAAATAAAAATAAAAGGGAAAAATGTGCAACACATGTTAAATAAGATAATGGTTGAACGATGAATAGATTGTGGGAAGACTAGACCCCATGCAACGAATGTCAAATTTGTGAGGGAGGTGGTCGTTATAAAAAGTTATGGATCTATCATATCGTCATTAAAAAGATCTTTGACGATCTTCTACCATCTTAACTAGCTAATATAATCCACCTTGTCGGGCTCTTTTGTAACGGTTTGTTTCTTAACTTACAAGGGTAAAAGATGGAAGCTTCTATCTATAACCTTCTAGTTCCATCACATTTCGATCAGAATATTGGAACCACTTGACTCGTTCGATGTCGTCGGGGCAAATGAACGATTTGAAGGGGACGACAACGCCGGGGAGAAGAGATTAGTTTGCCATTTCTTTTTATGATTTTGCTTTAATTTCTGACGTGAACGCTGATGTGGATGCTTACGTGGAGATTCGTTAGTAAACAATTAACGGTAACAAAATGAATGCACAAACTTTGATCAATTACAATACGTTTGGTTAATAAATAGTATTCCAATATATTTGAATAAAATAAAAGAATCTGGAAAAAGGTTTGGGTAACACACAAGTGTGTCAATCAGTCTAAGACCAAAAAAAAAAAACCATTTTCATCATATTTGATAAGAGTACATATATTATAAAAGGGCTGGAAGGCTTGTGAAACAACGAGACTATGTGACTTTTGATTGTCAAGTCATAGCAACAATTTCATTTCGTTTGAAGCGGACGTTCTATTCATTGAGCGGAAAGACCCAATAAATAAGAAATGGTATGATGATATGAAGTAGTTGGATTCAATTGGGATGGTGAATGCCCTAGGCTTGAGATTTGATTTTTTTTTTTTTTTGAAAGACGGCTGTTGCGCAGCACTACTTCAGCTTAAATAATCGATCGAACGATAAATCCGCTCACAGAGTCATACAAAGTCCAATGAGCAATATAGCTATCGGTGGGATTATACACAAAGGTTACTGGCTGAAGCGAATGGCCAAGGTGAGCCAAGTGATCTACAAGAAAATTTCCTTCTCTGTATATGTGGCTAATCCGAAGCTCCCAATCCCGCTCCTGTAGCTCTCGGAAAGCAAGGACGAGAATGGCATGCTGGTGAGTAACGGGTCCAGTGGCTTGGAGAAGCTGAACCGCGGTCAGGGAGTCAAGTTGGAGCTCGAATTTTCTGTGGCCAAGGTGCCACGCCATCTGTAGCCCCCGAATGGGCCCCCATAGCTCCGCACGAGTGATTGAGCATTTTCCCAGATTCATCGAGTAATACCCCAATAAGCGACCCCGCCCAATCCCGCTCCTGTAGCTCTCGGAAAGTAAGACCCCACTTTTCTGTGACCTAGGCTTGAGTTTTGATGATGTAATTCACTAGGAGGCTGGTGGTCTTTTGACTATTTTGAAGGGGTTGTTTGTTCAACATGACACACGTTTGGTGGCCGAAGGTTGGGCTTATAATAGTTGAGAATCGGGGTTTATGGGCCTTAGGTGCAATAACTTGCCCACGAATCCAATTTGGATCGTACCGACGAATCATTCTCTATATTTGTAACTCGGCCCAAGGGACGACTTGCCATGGCCCATGAGCCGTCAAGTACAAATATCAGAGATCAAGCTTGTTTAAAAGTCTCACCAAAGCTTGATGGGCTTGTATCATTAAAAGGAAGAAAGAAAAATTTCCATTTAGTCGAAGTTTGAACATAATATTGTAGATACTAAAATGTTATGATAAAAAAGTATATGTACCAAAACTTAATATTTTTGTATAAAATTAAATTTTAGGTACTAAAATATAAAAAAAATAAAAATTATAGGTACTAAAATATAATTTGTCAATGATCCAACTATCCAATTGAATTTGGATCAAATGGATTGAATTGAAAAATGAATTGTATTAGTTGGATATTTTTAATTGATCGATGAATTGGATTGGAGTACTACATAAGAAAGTGATGCAACGACGTGGAAGAATCCTAGTCGTGAAGTGTTGCGGTTTTGGGGGAGAGCTTTGTTGTGGTTGGTCGAACGCAAAGTCACGTGTATGCATTGTTGTACACTAGAGCAGATGAGAAGAAATAAGAGGGGAAAAGTATGGGCCTGAAAAGGCCCACAGAGTGTCTGACAAAAGTATAATTTTAACTGCTTCATCTCGATGTGATATTGATATGATATGCCACCAACGGGGAAATGGAAGTTAACTGCCCCTCTCGTCAATTCTACTCTTCTTCTTATCACTCTATCCATTCATTCATGAATTACTAATCCACGAGGCAGATAAGAATCTCAACTCCTTACCCTTTTATGCAAAGAAGGAAGATTACATTAGGTATATAAGCTTAGTGATAATCTTTTCACAATTTGGATATTTCATCTACAAAGATTGACCCAATGGAGTCAATTTAGAACAAAATGTTTTTTTTTAAGTTGTTTTACTTGTATAGGTTTTTATTTTTTTTGTGATTAAGGTACTATTTAAGAGATTTAAATTTGGAACATCCAAACTCCAGTTTCTATACTAGTGATATTAGCACTAGGCCAAACCCGTGTTCGTTAGAACAAAATGATTCTTAGCATATGTTTAGATGAAACTCTCTTATGAGTTTGTTGTAGACTTGTCCAAGTCAACGATTGGAACACGAGGTTCATGGAGAGAGGGGAAAAATAATACGGGAAAAGTAATTTTGAAGGGAAACATTTAAAATAAGTAGAAAAAATGTGTGGCATCTTGTTTGATTATGGGATGAGATACGGTGACAACCCCCTTAGCCCTTAAGGGGCTGTGAGATTCACAACCCACTCTCTAACCGTTGGATGCGCTTTCTCTCCTGTCTCTTTTTTTTTTTTTTTTAAGTTGATGGTTAGGATTAAAAGAAGGTTATTTTTTAAAAGGAAAAATGTTACCACACCCAATCATTCTCCCTCCCATATAAATAAAATAAAAACCCTAACTCCTCCCTCTCCCCCTCCTCGATCTCTCTCTTTCCTTCCTCCCTCTCTCCAGACGGCACCATCGCCGGCCTCCACCACCGCTGCCGCCTCTCTCCACCCAACACTGCCTCCGCCGTCGTCCATAGCCCGCCGCCCTCCATAGCCGCCACCTCTCTCACCCCCAGTCGAGCCCTCCACCGTCGCCGCAATCCTCCGGCGCCCTCCACCCCCTGTCGTTGCCAACTCTCTATCGCCACCGTCGTGCCTCCTCTCCTTACATCTTCCGGTGTGAGTACATCTGCCTCTTTGTGCCTCCTCTCCTCTCCTCCTCTTCGTTTTTCAGATCTGTGATTTTTGGATTTTCAGATCTGGTTTTTTTCTAGTGGTACTGATTTTCTAGTGGTAGTGGTACTATATGGAGTGGTAGCTGGTAGTGGTACGCTATCACTATCATTTGGTACCACTACCAGGTACCAGATGCAGATGGTAGTGGTACCAAATGATAGTGGTTCACTACCACTACCCGGTACCAGATGATAGTGGTACGTACTACCACTAACGTACTGACAGAGTGTTAATTTTTTATAGGTGGCCAGAGCGATTCGTATTCAAGGATCTTGCCGGAGAAAGTCTGTCGGTCGGAGTGGAGTGGCTGCTTGAAAAGGAAGAGAGAGATAGGAAGCGAGAGTTGTATTTATTGTAGGATTCAAAATAAAAAAAATGTATTTAATATGGGTTTTTAATTCCCAATATGTAGTTAATAATAAAAAATTAATAAATTCGTTTTTTTGTCATACCCAAAATACCCTTGATTGTCAATCTCACAACCCTCTTAGGGGTTGTTACCGTATCCCATCCCTTGAAATAATGTTTAAAGTTTATGTTCATAATATTCAATCTCATCAAAGTATTGCTAAATCATTCACTTGTTTTAGCTACTCATGCTATCAGTGTGGGAGCATCAACTTCATTTTTGTGGGCTTTGGAAGAGTGAGAGAAATTGTTGCAATTTTATGAAAAGAGTCTCGTGAACTATGTTGCGTCCTAGATTCTATCACTCCTTGATCGCCGAGCAGCACACTAGGGAAAAAAAATTCAAACATGTTAATAAAAACGAAAAAACTACTCATTCAAACTATCCATCTTAGTTAAGGAAAAGGTCACCCACATGTGTCTAGTGAAAACTCCATATTGTTAACTATGAAGCAAGCAACTTTGTTAGCAAGTTAACAATTGGGCCACTCTTGGTTAGTTGTAGTTCTACTCCTATCCATGAGTAAACATCAAACTATGAAACTATTTAAAGACAAAAACAGAACATCAAAAGTTCTTGATTCCACAAACTCCTATTTTTGTGAATTCGTCATCATCATCAAAATCTCTTATCAACAAAATTTACATCAAATTATCCGTGGCTCCTAAATCTCAAAAACAATCCATCGAATTCAAATCCACAAACCAAACTACCCTTATTTTGTTCTCTCCTCCACTAATGTTCACACAAAAAGACCATGAAACCCCACATTCCCATCAAAACAAAACACAACCTCCTTTCTCTTTCTGGCTCTGTCCCTTCATGCCCTCCCATTTTGCAAGCTGTAAAAAAGAGGTAATGCCTTAGTTAGCCTTTACCCCACCACACCTTATTATTCCTTCTCCCACAGACAAATGGTTTCAGCTTAACTGCAAACAAAAGAAACTTCCTTCTTCCCCACCTTCACAAAGCTCCATCCTCTCAACATTGGCCTGGTATTGAAGTCTTCCTCAAAAGCTCCAAACTTACATCGAGCCCTTCTCATAACATGGTCCCCCTTCCAGAATTTCTAGCAATGTCACAGTTTGCTCTTCTGGGTTTTGTGTTTTGCAGGCATGGCAGGAAGACTATCATAACCGCTGCTGCTATGGATTTTGGTGTTGAGACTTTGAGCTTGTGAAAAGGGGAAAAGGGAAGAACTTTGTTTTGTCTAAGGTTTTTAATTACTAATTAGATAACAATAATAGTAATATATTAGTACAAAGAATGCCAGTTCCTCTTGCACCTTATCCAACTCCACCAGTTGCTCCATATAATCCTCCTCCTCCACCTCCTCCAGCTGCTGCTGCCAATGGTCAGTAATACTAATCTTCCATTTTCATCCAACCAAAAGCTTGCATTCATATTATTCTTCTTATCCCTTTTGGGAATGTTGGGTTTTTTGTTTGTACTTTTAAGGTGGACAAAGCCAGCTAGTGTGTTCTGGATGTAGAAATCTGTTGCTTTTCCCAGTTGGGGCAACCTCAGTTTGCTGTGCTGTCTGCAATGCAGTCACTGGAGTTCCTCCTCCTGGTATGAAAACAGAAAATAAGGGTTCAACTTTTTTACCATATTTGATCACTCAAAGCTTTAAAGGTCATTCTTTTTCACCTTTTTTGAGTGATTGATACAGGCACAGAGATGGCTCAGCTGGTATGTGGAGGCTGCCACACTTTGCTCATGTACATTCGTGGCGCGACAAGTGTCCAATGCTCATGCTGCCACACTGTCAATTTAGCCTTGGAAGGTAAGGGGAAAAGTTTGAAACACTAAAATTCCAAATTTTTGGCCAAAAGGGCATCTCAGGAATGCTGAAATGTGGGGTTTGTTGTTATAAAGTTTCAGCCTTAACCCTATTTGAGGCATACAATTTTTTGAGAATTAGAGTGATGTTCATCCTCGCTATCCAAATTGTGAAAGGTATTATGTTTATGCATGAAAAGGTGATGGATGGTCAAGCCTAAAGAAACCCCCTAACTGAATGACCATGATCTCCCAAAATTTGGCCTAAAGTGGGTTTTTTTTAAAACTTAAGTCATAAAGTTTTACCCTTTATGAGGATGAAATACAATTTTTGGGAAAAGCATTTGAGTGATGGTTTGGTTCTTGTCTTGGCAATTTGGTGTTTGGGACAGCAAACCAAGTGGCACATGTGAATTGTGGGAACTGCAGGATGCTGCTGATGTACCAGTATGGAGCTCGATCTGTCAAATGCGCAGTCTGCAATTTCGTTACATCAGTTGGGGTAAGTGTCTCCAAATCCATTCATGGTCCTCCTAACGTGGTTCCAAAGCTACTAGCCAAATGTGACTGATGTTCAATCCTAGAGAAAGAAACCCCTCAACTGTGCAATTTGGCTTCTTTCTGTATAAAGTCCATATTGCCTTCATAGCACAAAATGTAATGACCATCCTGCTAAATGGTTGCAGGCCTCTGCAAGCACTCCAGAGCAGAAATTCAGCACTGCTTGATCTTGTGGTTTCACTTGCGATCTTTTACTAAGTACTCGTCGACAACAATTGAATCAAAACGCCAGTGGCGTGGAGCAATGAAAACTTCAACTCCAAGTCACAATGTATAGAGTTGATCTTCCTCCTTTTTAATTTCCCTTTGAATAAACCAGTTTTGGAGAAGTTTGTGGTTATTTGAACTATATAACTACTATCAAAAAGTTTATAATGTTGAGATAAGGAGTAGATTTCTGTTTTGGAAATGGAAAGACTGGACAATCTGAATCTCAATGGCTTGGAAGTCACAGAGACACATAATGGTGGTGGCCCAAAAGAGATATTTAGAAACAGAAAGACAAGGTTCTGGGAAAAAGGGTATTTGTGGTTGAAAGCAAAAGAAGAGAGCTTTCATGGTGAAAACCATAGCCCATAGGAATTCCTTGGGGGCAGGAAGATCACTTTCAAAATCCAGAAAGAATCTTAATCCATGTCATTTTCACAGTTTTCCTCTTTCAAGTTTTGGGTTAATGTGGTTTTATAGTCTTGTATGTCAATTTAACAAGCAAGTCTCCATAGTCCATACTATGATTCTAATTGTGGTTTATTCATCTTCGAACCCCTTGGTTTCTAAACGTTCACTGAAATTGGTTAGTGATTACCAATAGAATCAGCTCATGTTTGAAAATTCATTTTTTTCTCCTCAACATTGCCCTATGAATCTCACATCTCCTTACACTTTTGTACGTCGCAACTGACATTTAGCACTTAAAACGAACGAGATTAATTGATATGGTCCAATAAAACAGTGAAAGATGGATCAATAACACTGAGATATGTGAAACCATCAAGAACATGCTTACTCAACATGGGTGGACCTCTAACAAGTTAACTGGAGCATTAATTGGAGATTGGGAAAGGGTATATTCTTCTTTCTGGTGCTCATCCAAAAGAGAAGCTGATTGATTCCCTTTGCCATTATTGCAGTCCAAAGAAAGCAACTTTGTTTCGTGGTGGTCTCTTTCTCACACTTATCAGGCTCCAAATTGGAGCCATATGGATGGAGACCTTATAATTGTAATGTATCATTCAAGAGTGTAGGAAACAAGATTTCCTACAGGATGGGAATTGGGGAATTTAGCTAGATCAATTAGGGATTGATCTAACTAGGGATTAGAATTGAGGATTTGAGAACAAGAAGCGGGAAGAATTTGGGCTGCTGCTGCCGCAGCTTTGGAGGGAGAAAAGAGAGAGAGGGAACTCGCAGGAGAGAGGGGAGAGAGAGTTAGGATTTAGGTTTTGGTTCTGTAATTGCATAAATCCTAAAATAAGACTACTAATACAGATTATATAACCTGTCTAATTCCTATCTGCTACCCGAATAATAAAACGTAACAATTAACTCCCTGTTTATTCCCCCGAGTACCCAAATAATCCCCCAATAAATAAAAACCGACACTAATACGAAATAACCGAAAACTGCTAATAATTATGTTTCCCACATCCCCTCTTCCTTCGAAAAACAACCTTGTCCTCAAGGTTGCTCCTCCAGCTCACTAGGTCTCTTCCTCTCCATTCCCGGCGTCCTCCTCCTCATCCTCAGCTTCATCCTCCCAGCGTCCCACTAACATCATCAAATCCGGCTTCGGGCACTGGTGACCAATGGTGAACCGGCCATCGCAGTTGAAGCACTTGCCCTCCCGCCTCTTCTGCTCAATCTCTGCTGGCGTCAGTCGCACGAATCCCTTCGGTATGGCCCGCGGCCCCATCCTGGCCACCGGAGCAGGGCCTCCGCTGCCGGCGATGGCTCCAGTCGAGCCTCCCCCGGTTGTCCCTCCTGTGCCGCCACTAGTACCGCTGCTTCCTCCTCCGCTTGGCTTTGAGAAGCGGCCAATGGTGCTTCTCCAGCTAGCCAATTCTTCCTCCTTATGACCTGCAAGACGAAAAGCAGTTTTCACAGAATCGGGCTCAAACACCCTGACCGCCGCTGCTATCTCGGGTTTGAGACCCGCCATGCACAACCCCACCAAGGTGTCCTCCGAGACTCCCTTGCACTGGTTCCCCAACTTGAAGAACTCCGCACGGTACTCAGCCACCGTGCCGGTCTGCTTCAGCTTCGCCAACTGCTCAGGAGCCCATCCATCTGACTTACCAAACTGATAACGGAGCTCCTCCTGAAACATGGGCCACGTGATCAAAGTTGCTGCTGGTGCATAGGATCTCTCCATCCACTCCCACCATTGGAGCGCATCGCCCTCCAGATAGAACGATGCCAGATAGGCTTTCCTCTCCTCCGGAATTGGGTGGTTTTTAAACCACCTCTCAACTGCATACAACCAAAGACCTGCATCCTCCTGCCCATTGAATTTGGGAAACTCAATGGTAGGAGGCTTAGCTCGAAAGACTATCCCATCCATTCCCTCATAGTTTGGATACTGGGACCCATACCTGTCATTTCCTGGCGTCCTCCATGGCTGCCCCCACTGAGAGCACTGCATCTGGTTAGGATTTCCGTGTCCATAGTCACCCGGATAGTAGCCCGGCTGATTCGGGTATCCCCCTGGGACATGAGGCGCCTCATATGGGCCCTCTCCTCCTCCTGGACCCCTGCTGTCCGCCCTCCGGTTCGGCTGAGCGGTTGGACTCGGTCGATGCCCGGTTTGACCCACCTCGGGTCGACCCATCCCGGTCCGCCCCGGTCCGGTTCGACTCAGCTCGGTCCGATCAGCACTGGTCCGACCAATCCCGGTTCGCTCCGGTTCGGTCCGTCCCCCTCCTAACCCGTCCGCCTGTCCCGGCCCAATAGGAGCCGACCCGCCCGGCCCCATCTGGTCAGCGGGCTTATTCGGCCCACCGGGCCCCCTCTGGCTCATCTCCTGTTCAGCCCACTGGGCCTGCTGGCCCGCCAAGCTTAGTTGGTCATACTCAGGCCCACCTTCCAGATCCAGCCATCCCAGCCCGTTATGGACCCTTGTGTAGTGACCCAGCTGGCCCGGCCCACCATTCATAGGAGGCCCATCGGTGTCATACCCAGCCATCTTAGCCTTTCCTTTGCGGGCCGCAATTTCTTGGGCCGTGGGTGTAGGTAACAGGCCCGAGCCTGAGCCCAGCCCTAATGCAGGCCGGCCAGCCCGGCCCGACCCAGCGTCTGCCGCCCTGCTCCCTTCGGCCCTCTCGACTGGCGCGGCAGCCCGAGCCGCCGACCCCCCCGGGATCGCCCCGCCACCGGGCCCGCTGCTCGCCCCGCCCTCCGTCGCCGCAGCACTCGTCGGCGCCGCCAGCGCCGCCGCCGCGGTCGCCCCGCCTCCAACAGCCGCCTCCGCCGCTCCCAGGCCGCCCCCCCCCCCTTCGTTCGTCATCTCGACCGGTTTCGGCGCCCTCTCTGGTTCGCCTCCCCTTGCCTGCAGCGAGGTGATTGCCCTCATCAGGTCCTCCAGCCTTCGCCGCAGATCGTCAGCATCCTCCTTCGCCTCAGCCTGCACTCTTGCCAGGCCTTCTTCGAGCCTGGCTAGCGCATCAGAGTGCTCGTGCACCACCTCCTTCACCGCCTCCAGCTCGGTAAGATCCTCCATCACCACCTCGTCGCGATCAACACCGCCCGTTCCGGTGCTCCTCTCGGCTGCCTGCGCCTTCTCCTCCGCCGCCTTCATCGATTTCGTTGTCACCATCGTTGCCTTCCCTGGTTCAAGAGTTCAGATGAACTCACTCTCGAGCCAGGCTCTGATACCAGATGTAGGAAACAAGATTTCCTACAGGATGGGAATTGGGGAATTTAGCTAGATCAATTAGGGATTGATCTAACTAGGGATTAGAATTGAGGATTTGAGAACAAGAAGAGGGAAGAATTTGGGCTGCTGCTGCCGCAGCTTTGGAGGGAGAAAAGAGAGAGAGGGAACTCGCAGGAGAGAGGGGAGAGAGAGTTAGGATTTAGGTTTTGGTTCTGTAATTGCATAAATCCTAAAATAAGACTACTAATACAGATTATATAACCTGTCTAATTCCTATCTGCTACCCGAATAATAAAACGTAACAATTAACTCCCTGTTTATTCCCCCAAGTACCCAAATAATCCCCCAATAAATAAAAACCGACACTAATACGAAATAACCGAAAACTGCTAATAATTATGTTTCCCACAAAGAGCAAGAAAGCTGAGTGAGTGAATGACTTGTTGCCTGCCAAAAGTCTGATGGAAATCCTCAACTTTTCTGCTAGTATTGTTGTATGTATCTGCATATCTTTGTCCATGTTTGCCGCATCCAAGGTGCCCTTCTCGATTGGCATTATTGTTTGTTCACTGTGTCATCACTTGCTGGCTCAATGCTTCAAACGGGAGTCTGCCCACTTGAAAGTTCACTGAGAGGTCATCCTCATTCAAATTGGAAGGCTCTACCATACAATGTCGCGAAGAACTGATTCATCGTCAAGATAGTAGAGCATATCTTCAGTGTTTATTCATCTCTGTTGGGTATGAAGAATACTATGTGTCTCGAGAAAATGGTGGTACGAAACCGCACAAGATGGCTTGGCATCCCATAGATAGAGCAATCGAGAGATGTTCGCATCTCTTAATGCACCGTGATCCTCTCTAGTCTCTTCAGGTTTAATACTAGCTTATATGCGTATTTAATGTGTTCTGTAGAATAGGGGAGCTTATGCGACAGTTATTCGTCATCGAGAAAAAACCGATATATAATCTTCGAATCCATCTAATAAGAGATATTTACATAACCAAATAAGATTGGGAGTTATCTATCTTGCATACACCAAGTTCAAAGCCAGGCGCATGAAAACAAATAAGTTCCATTGGAAGGAGCAAATTCTGCGAGTGGTCAATTCACCGCCCATTGGAAGGAAAGGTAGAAAGTAGTAGCAAGCAGTCAAGAGTCGAGTAAGTAACAGCCGAAGAAACAGAAAATGAAAGGAAGAAAGAAAGAAAGAAAGAAAGAAAGAAAGATCCAAAATGTAAGATGTGCATCTGCCTCTGCCCCCACAGAAATCTCAAATCTGCAATCTCAAATCTGCACTGGATAAGGATTTCTTGCTTGGCCATACTGATGAATGATTGATTCTCAAGTTGTTGATAGATAGCCAGCAATTTTATTTTTATTTTTGTCCAATTTTCATGGCAGGGAGGGAGGGATTTTGCAAAGCTTAGTTTAGTTAGCTAACCTTCATATGGTTTTTACAATGAGATGACTAGTTGCCAATGTCAGGGCAACGTCAGAATGATGTGGGTGAGACGTACATACAGCATACAAAACGAAAACTTAAACCCCTGCAGCTCGAAATTCCAGTTAAACCGAAACGAACATACAACATACAAGTTCCAGTCTACAGCAAATGAGGATGTTGATTGATTTGGTCTTTGATCACTATCTGGAGAGGCATTTTGTCCGGTTAAAACCAAACCGACTGAATATCGGCAGGTGGAGGATCAACATTCTGAGTTTAAGTTGTGATATACAATGCAGCCTGAACTCAAACAATCTCTCTTCTATTCATCAGCCATGGCCAGCTCCAAAGCGTAGTCGTCTCGCTCCTGTCAAATCGAATCGTTTTATGATTTATCGATTATCCTCTCTCCTGTGATCTTACAAGGATGATATATTAGGAAACAAAAGACTTACGATTGGCCCTCGAGCAAAATACCTCCCGAACTGAAGCCAATATACCTGATGCATACAACGGAAGAGTGTGTTTGGTATTAACTTGCAAGCACAACATCTAGTAAGCCCATAGAGGAGAAAACCAGGCAAAATATGTAGAGCTTGAAGAAGTTTGGCAATGTACCTCATCTTCATCTTGTGTTTCGACTTCAAGATCCGAGGACGGAAACCCCACACAAAGCAGTGCATATCCCTGCACGTCCAGACATCAGATGCATATCACATGTTACTTCTTATGCAAGAAATTAAATCTTTTGTGTCCCATCTCTTTGGTTTAACAAAAAAAAAAAGAGCTGCCATTGCCTTATCTTTGAGCTCTGCAGATATCCCTAGAGCTTCTGGCTGTCTGAGTTGTCCAGATTTCACACGTACTGCACAGCTAGTGCAACAACCTGCAGCCAGAGAGCCTGTTGATGAGCAACAACTTAGAACGATGGAGTAGAGCCTACTTGCAGGCACCGAATATACACAAGCACAGAAGACAACACGAATCCACTTGATTGCCTTAAGTTGTTATCCACAACTCGATACATCACAAATATCGACTGGGGACCAACTTGAAAGGAGATGATGGAAACCAATAAGCTGATAAAAGAAAATGGATTTCCTAGAGCGAGTTGCATTTGCAGATGAAACACAATGTAAATGAAGGATTTCCTAGATAGAGAACAGCTAGAAGAGGTAGGTAAGGTTCAGTCCTCATTCCAACAGACTACCCATAGATATGGTTTTCGAAACACACACAAACTCCTTCAAACTGCCTTAATTCTGATGGTCCTATTGAGACACATATCAGGTGACTCAACCATAATTATATTCCACAATCCAACAAGGGTACCTAACCATCTTAGTTCTAAACAATGCAAATCCGATCATCGAAAGAACCAATCTACAGCACAAGCAGGAGAGCCCACATGAAAGAACTACAGCATACCCTGAAATTCATTTCTAAATTCCTATCTCCTCGGCCAGCAAATGGGTTTTGCTAAATCACTCTTCATAGCCAGAGGAAGCGAATTCAGAAGGTCATCTCTCCATGATCTAGAAGCGAGATTCTACCCCACATTGAATCGAAACTCATTGCTTTAACATCCCCTCTAAGATCAACTTGACAATATGCATTCACAGATGGGTTATAATTCAATAAGATATACAGACTAATACCATGCCTGCAAGCAAACGGAAGCGTAATGTCCTGCGCTTCCGCTGTGTGCAATATATACTGATCCTGCATAAAAAAAATAACATCCCAAGAGATCTCATGAACTGAAGGGTAACATCAAAAAGGATCCCAAAAGCAAGAAGAAGCAAAATAACGCAGCCATACCTCTGGGACGACGAACTCGTGGACGACGCCGCGCTGCCGGTCATGAACAGTGACTTTGTGGGTGGGAACCGCAATCGGGGCTGCGGCGGGTACACCGTTTACTCCGACCGGAGTCTGGAGCTCCGATTTTGTTCTGACGAGAGCCCATTTCGGCCGCCGGGAGCTGGTGGCGGAGGGATTGGAGCTAGAGGGGAAGAATGGAGATTGGAGAGGTGTGGATTTAGGCCAAAATGGGGAGGAGATAGTGGAGCTGCAACTGCAAGAGACGATAAGGTTAAGGTCCATCTTTTGGATGAACGATTGAAAGGGAGCGATGGGATTTCTTTCCCTCCCTATTTTGGCCATCTCTTTGGCGGTTCAAAAATATCAATATGGTCACTGAACTTGAATATATGTATCAAACGCATACCCACATTGTTAGAACTCATAAGTCGTAATGGCAAATGGATTGGTGGATTGGATAGGTGAATTCATGGATCAATTGGATAATTGATTCATGGATCCAAACGACATTCAAGTTTTGGAGCATTATGTAAATTTTGAAAAGTTTAGGTACTAAATGTCATAATGAAAAAATTTAGGTATCAAAAAGTTTTTTTTAACAAAACGATAGCTTGTATTAAACAAGAAAAGAGAGTTACATCATATCCACCTCCCTGGGGAGCCAAAACACAAAAATCAAACCCAGAACAACGATTGAAAAACAAAGAAAGGATCTTCTTAGCCACTAGATAGGCTACCCCTATTGTCGTCCCTCCTCACAACAAAACTGCAAATTGGGAAAAGACAACTGTTGGAACCGAATCTCCTCGTAGATTGCTTCGCCACGAATATCGGCTACCAATCCTACATTAACCTTGTCAATCACCACCTTTGCATCACCTTCAATCGTGGTACCAAAAAGTCATTTACCAATAATTATTTTCTTATTAAAAATAAATGTTATGTACCAAAATGTAAAATATAAAAAGTATAGGTTAACATTCCACGATCCTCTGGGATTTGTGATCGTTAACATTCAATAAATATAAAAATTCTAATTTTATATTAAATGACATTTCTATCTTAATAAAAAAATTAGAATGGTTCAGAAAATTTTGAGAATTTATTTATATACATAGTTAGTGAGATAAATAAGAAAAGGAAGGGATAAAGCAGGAAAAAAAATTCACAAATCAAGTTATAGAATCTCCGATAATGAGAGATTCGATATTGATAGATTTTAGAAATTGAAATCTCTAAACTTATAATCCACAATACTAAAAGTAACCAAAAATATTTTTCACAAATTTACAAATTGAGTGAGTGAATCAATCAGTGAAATCCTTTTCTCCCAAACAAAGCTCTTTTGGAAACTTCTCAAGTCCAAAGCCCTTTTAGACATTTGGTAAATACCAGCCCATCAACTGGTGATGATTTTCGGCAGTCGAAAATAGTAACTGGAAAAGCAAACAAACGAAGCAGTCAGGCCCAATAACTAGTAGCCCAACGGGCCGCCTTTCATATATCTTCCTCTAAATTTACCCCAAAAGCTTCTTTTGAGTCGCCGTCGGCCCAACCAAGAGCTGTTGTAATAAAATCTAAATCTTCATGCCCTGCATGGAAAACGTGCACAGGGAATCTAACAACAAAAATATATGATTTTTTATTATTATTAAATGTCCATTTAACTAATCAACAGAATACATGATATTTAAACGAAACGATAAGTTTTGAGCGGTCCTAACATCATTATCATACTATACGTGTCAATACACATTATACAATACAATTATCATCCCGCAGTTAGTGATAATATATAATACGTGAATAATTAGGTAAGATCAAATTAAGTACGTTTATTTTATTTTAGTTTGTTAATGACTGCTGATCGTACGTACCATATCATAATTGATGTTGTTTGCCGAATCGATTACGTTGCTTGCTGCCCAACCCACTCCTCAAAACTCAGTAACCGAAATCAATTCCATTATAACTTAAAAAAAAACCGAATCAATTATCTTAGCAGTCAACGTAACCGAAACTCTTGGGTACAATCTACGTCGGGTAAATTGCCAAACACCTTGCTACATAACAGAATTTGTACCACGTACATCATATTTGTATTCATATAGATACTTGACCAATACAAATATTGCTCGGATTGATTGGGTCGGACACCCGTCGTACGAATTGAGTTACCTATCTCTCTAAAAGATTGTTTGGAAGTTACAATTGTTTTCTTGGGGTAGTTCTTGTACTTGTATTGTTTAGAATGTATCGTTTTCTGTTTTTTTTTATAATTTGTTTACACCATATATACATGGATTGTTTAGGTGATATGACATAAAATATCATCCAAAAATGAGTGATTGTTATATCTCAGCTTTTTGCTGAGATGTTGAGATCGTAGAATTGAGATTGTTTTACCAAACTTTTCGCTGATCTGACGTACACAATCGTACATATCAAAAACTGGATCTTATAAAGCATCAAATTCGTCAAACTAGATGACCATGTTTGATTGTTTTTCTTTGTCACTATGCAGGCATAGCCTAGCCTAGCTAGCTACTTATCTTTATTAGTTATTACCAAGTCGCTATACACGACCAAAATAATTAGTCTGATGCGACGCAAATTTGTGGTCGATCTCATAAGTACTATTCCACGGAACACTGATTTTGACTGCTATAATAATCACAAAAGAAAACAAAACCCCCAAAACCTCTGGACCGTCCGATCCACATTTTCGACAATCGAGTGGCTGAGAATTGTCTTGGACACTTCAACACCCTCAGGGTCCTCTCTAGGACCACGACCTTTTTGGATTCTTTGTTTTTAGATAAATCAGCCTTAATCTATTCCCACTTGGCCAAAGAAATTAAGTTCATCCACAAAAGTAGGGTAATTGACGAAAATGGTCACTTAGGTTTAGACCTGTAACAAAACGGTCACAGACGTTTAAAACGTAACAAATACGCCTTGTTGACACAGTGCAAACTTCATAAAAAAAAATTATAAAACACCTAACCAGCCCGTAAAACTACCTCAATTACTATATAGTTGTTTTATTATATCGTGTTACTTGTATGATATTTTTGTTATGTTTTAATCATTTGTGGCCATTTTGATCAATTACCCTACAAAATATATAGTTTATACAATAGAAAAGGTCTAAACCCTAGGAAGGAATTTTTTTTTATAGGTGTAAACCTAAGAGAATTGAACCCGTTCATACTACAACATCACAACTCAATACATAAGAGTACAGTAGAGGTCTTTTTCTTCCACCTTCACGGAGAAATGTCGTCTTTGGTCTTCATTTAGTAGGTTTCATAAGAATATGCATCCATGTATTTTACAGTAATGTACATAGTGAGGACTTATTTTGTTGTCCAATATAATATGCCACAGGTGTACGTCAATTTGTTTTGGGTGGAAACTTTCCCGATGTCGATTGATTGGATTGCGCTTTTGACTTCCAGAAATCAAGACGGTCGTTACGGTTCACACATTTTCAAACAATATTCAAATGATGGTGTTTGATGTGTGGGGGAGCTTTTCAACCATGTTGCTAGGACCAGAACACTATTTGAAACCATTTACATGAAATCGCGAGCTCGATGGTTTGCAACGTAGGTGGCTCCGAACCATATAAGCCACCCATCCTCCTCGCATGGCTCGCGCTTCCATGACCCACACTAGAACCCTTTCATGTACCTCTACAAAACTCCGTTGTGATGCCTTTGTCGCAATGTTGCTTTTTCGTGGCTCCACGTTGGTTGGAGCTGGGACATTATTGAACTCCCGGCACTGTTAAGCTTGCGTTGATCGCCGAGATATAACGAGCTCGTGATGCGCCGTTTAACTCGCGACATCTACCTGCACATGATCCTCAATGGTATTCGATTTACCCCATGCTTAAAACGTGAAATCCTTAATGGTCTATGAGTTTTAGCAAGATCCCTAGACTTGCATCCCAACACTTTTCAAATAGAGAAAACTTGCCCTCACACCTCACACTTTTAGCATATAGAATCTGACTCTCCACCCAACTATATACCTAATGACGACTAACACTATTCATATTTGTCTCCTCTTCACTCATTTCAAGTTCAAATTTGATCACTTCCAACAAACAAACATAATTGAAGCCACTACTCACCCCAAGTTGGCTAGTGTCCACTATGGCCATATAAACTCAAACCTCCCTCTCTTTCCTCCAATCCAAAATACTAGGGTTGGCTATTTGGTCCGGTTTTTTTGGTTTTACCCGAACCCGGACTGTATAACCCGAACCGGGACCGAATAGTAAACAATCCAATCCAATTTTTGGACTTAGATTTGAAGTAAAAAATCGTTCGGGACCGGATCGAAAACTGGATAAAGACCGGATAAGAGAGCTCAACCAAGCCCGGCCCTGAGCCTGTGCTGGCAGGCCCCCCAGCACAGGGTCTCAGGAAAATAGGGGCCTCACATAATCCATTTGTGTGTTACGGGCTTTATTTGTTTGTTATAAGCTGTTGGATTTTTGTCAAAAAAAAAAATAAAAAGCTGTTGGATTTAATGGGCCTACACAAAGAAAAACAGAGGCCTTAAACTCATGGCTGCATATATTTATGAATACACTATACAAGGTTTTTTACTTTTTTTTTTTTAACATTTGTCGGAATCGTGTCCCAAAAAATAGGCTTCCTATACCGTAAAAAAAAGGCTTCCTACAGTGTTTTTCAGCCTCGTGAGTCACGAAGTCCAATATGTATTTATATTACCGGAAAAAATGTATACAGCATTTTGGACTTTGGACTTTTGGCAATGATTTCTTAATAGTGTTTTTGCAGCATATTTGGATGATACTTATTGACACAGGAAGTCTAAATTTATGTATTAACAGAGTATTTCCTCGCTTTACCATTACAACAATATTTTTGTGTCACAAAAAATTAGATAAACATATATTTTATGCATTGTAGGATTTTACATTGACCAAATATTATAGTTATTTGTTGGCACTTTATATGCTGTAGATTTCAAATGCATATTAAATGTTGTTATTATAAAAGTAGCATTATAAATGACTTTCAAAAGCTTATAATTCAAAGAAGATGGGCTTTTCATCCTTGACTTCTACCTAATAAATTTTTTGGCACTTTTTTTTATAATTTTATGATAAAAATAATGTAATAACAAATAGCAAATTTAGAATTTGTTCATAAATTATATAACATAATGAACCAAATATTAGAGATATTTGTTTCCGACAGGTTTTGTCAGGTTTGATTTGCGGCTTGGTTGCGCTCATTGTAAATCTTGCCCTGAATTTTGTTAAATCATCATGTGTTTATCATTTGTACATCTTATTTTTAAAAAAACATTTCCTATTAAATTTATCAAAAAATGTTTGGGCCACATTTTCTTTTCAGAACAGGGCCTCCGAAAGTTCAGGGCCGGCCCTGAGCTCAACACCCAAGACTTAAGGGTAATTTGCATAAACGGTCACAAACCTTTGCACTTAGTACAAAACTTAACCAACTCCTCACCCTTTTAGGCCTTAGGCCACTCAAGTCCCCATAAGTTCAATATAAAATCAAGACCGAATTGGGACCGGATCGGGTCAAGACCAGACCGGATCAAGACCGAACTGTATCCAATCCAATTTTTGGTCCTTATATTTTCAAAAAAACCGGATCGGGCCGTATAGCCACCCTACAAAATACTTCACCCCCTTTTATGTATATATTGTTTTGTCTTCTCTCCCATCTGGCCATCTCCTCTTTTCGGGAAACCCAATGCCCATAATGAAAGCGCCAAACTTGAAGGAAAGCGGCAAAAGACAATGAGGAAAACAATGCGAATTATAATACCTCGCGAAGTAGGGTAGGGGCGGCGGCTCACCTACCCCAAACCCTAATCTCTTTTCTTCGGTTTCTGCCTTTGCCGGCCACCGCGTGTCATCTTCAGCTGACTACCACCGCCCCTCCCATTTCACACGTGTCGAAGACCCATGTCGACCAATTATTCCGCCACCTGGCCCCCTTCAGGGGTTAACTTTCCCCCCTATGGAAAAGATGCTTTGTATATAGTGACTTGTTAGTTTTTACAGTTGAGAAATCATTCTGTAGGCTATTATCAAGCCAAGTGTGATCATTCATTTAGAGCTGATATGCAATGTTAAAATGGAGTGGGCTATCAGCTTAGGCTTAAATACTTCGTTTATATGTACGCATACGTACTTTATTAGTTCAAAACTTTTATATTCATATTATTGTTTAGTCGTTTCATTTTTTTTCCATTCATTCGATAGCTCACGTACTAAACACGTATAAAATCTGCATAACACGTTTATTATTCGTATTTTATGAATTAAATTGTTAATTTTAATATTATTTATTTGTAAAATAATTAATTTTTTTATATTTATGACTATTAATGTACTATTAAACATAACTTTAGCTTAGAGACGAAGTATAATACTCGTACGCATTTTATACGCAACTTTCCTGTACCGTATTTTATTAACTATGCTAGGCAGATACCATTAGATCGATCATCCTACGCCACCTTTTTATAAATAAAGTCAATCGAGCTATCGAGATTATACTCACACGTTGTTAGAAACAAACAATTTACAGCTTTTCATTATTTCGTATTATTGTCGGTTTTGATAATTGGGGGATCATTTGGGGTATTTTTATTATATGGGTAGCAGTTAGGTATTTTGCGGATTATATAATCTGCAGTAGGGAGTTATTTTGTGATTAAGCAATCAATTACAGAAAAACCTAAAACCTAATCTCTCTCTCTCTCTCTCTCTCCCTCTAGCGCCGAACTCTCTTCTCCCTCTTTCTCCTTGGCTGATCGGCAGCAGCCCTCTTCTCCCCTCTCTTCTTCCTAAAATCTCTATTCCCAATCCCTAGCTTGATCAATCCCTAATTGATCTAGCTAATTTCCCCAATTCTACAACCGTTAGAAACTTTGTTTCTAACATCTGGTATCAGAGCCCGGTTCCGATCAGTGAGTTCTTCCCAACTCCATCAGGAACAGCTCAGAAACCGGAGAATCAACGATGGTAACGACGAAATCCATGAAGGCAGCAGAGAAAGCGGAGAAGGCGAATCAGGCGGGTGACAGGGGCGCCGATGCAGGAGACGATGGGGTCGATGGGGCTGTGGAGGATCTGACCGGCATTGAGGAACTGAGGAGAGACCTGGAGGCGCAGGCGAGGAGACAGGCGCGGGTGGAGGAGGAGTTGGGAGAGTTGCAGGAGAGGGCTAGGGAGCACAACCGCACCATCGAGGCCTTGACGGCAGCGGTGGAAGCCCTGGTGGGACAGGTGAGCGGCCTGACGGAGGCCTGGAGGAAAGGCGGGAATGGAGTTGGTGGAGGCGATCAGCCGCCGGAAGGGAAGAGCGCCGCCGTGGTGGTGGAGCTCGGCGGACAGGGGGCCGCGCGGCTTCCGGAGGGCAAGGGGGCGGGCGGTTCAGGCGAGACGGGAGGGGCGGCGGGCAACCCTAGCCGACCTACCGGGTCGCGTACGGGCCAAGTCACCTTCGGGCCATCGGTCAAGGATGGGCTACTACCGACACCATCGGCCCAGGAGAGGGCCCGCGTGCGAGGCAAGGCCAAGATGGCCGAGTACGTGGAACCGGACCTGCAGGCGGGCTTGGATGAAGAAGAATTGATGGGCTTGGAGCAGGAGTATGATCACGAGCCGTGGCCCAATGAGTTGAATGGGCCCGGGGAGGACTATAGCAGGGATGAAGGAAGCCATATGGGCCGAGCTGGGATGGAAGGCGGACCAGTTGGGAAGCGGCGAGAAACAGGCCGCGGCTGGGAGGTGGGTCGGCCGAGCTTCATGGGCCGGGGAACCGCGGGCCGGGCCGAGTATGCGGGCAGAGCTGGGTCGAGCAGGGGCCCAAGCGGTCGGGTCGAACCCGGTCGGACCGAAACCGGTCGGACCGAACCCGGTCGGACCGAACCCGGTCGTTCCCGGGCAGAACCAGGGCAGCAGCTGGCGCGCACAGGGGGAACGGGCAGCAGGGGCTTCCCGGCTCGCCAAGGTCAGTTTGATGAGACTAGTGGCAATCAACCTCCGTTTGTGAATCAGCAAGGCACTGGTAGGGAATTCATGGGATCAGGAACAGGTGATCAGAGGCAGAGAAAGGAGATGGGCCGAGGAAGGGGGCATCAAGAGGAGGAGGAAGGTGAGTGGGAGTATGAAGGGGGACCTCGATTTCCGCAGTATTGTCATGGTGAGGCACCGGGATATGGGAGGCACGCCGGTTATTACCGCGGGGGTGAGGCAGAAGATGAAATGGTGTTTCGAGCTAAGCCTCCTACCATTGAGTTCCCAAAATTCAATGGCAGGGAGGATGCAGGTCTGTGGATATACTCCGCAGAACGGTGGTTCAAGAACCATCCCACTAGAGAGGAACGAAAGGCTCAGTTGGCATCTTTCTATTTAGAGGGGGATGCACTACAGTGGTGGGAATGGATGGAGCGGACCTATGCTGAAGCTCGGACGCTGATTACTTGGCCGATGTTCAAGGAGGAGTTGAGGTATCAGTTCGGCAAGTCGGAAGGGTGGGCCCCGGAGCAGTTGGCGAAGCTGCGCCAGACTGGGACAGTGGCGGAGTATCGAGCTGAGTTCTTCAAACTGGGTAACCAGTGCAAGGGCGTACCGGAGGAGACATTGGTGGGTCTGTGCATGGCGGGACTCCGTCCTGAGATTGCAGCGGCTGTTCGGGTATTTGAGCCCGATTCTCTTCGAGCTGTTTTCCGTCTTGCAGGTAACAAGGAGGAGGAGTTGGCTAGCTGGCGGGGCGTGATAGGCCGCTATCAGAAGCCGGCCGGAGGAGGAGGCAGTGGTAGCAGCGCGAGCGGCGGGGCGAGTGCAGCTACCTCGGGCCCTAGTTCGGGAGGGGGTGCGGCGGCTGGCCCACCTTCGGCTGTCATTCGAGCGGGACCGAGGCCGCCACCCAAGGGATTTAGGACGCTGTCTCCCGCAGAGATCGAGCAGAAGAGGCGAGAAGGGAAGTGTTTCAACTGTGACGAGCGGTTTACCTTTGGTCACAAGTGCGGGAAGCCTGACTTGATGTTCTTGGTGGGACGATGGGAAGACGAGGCGGAGGATGAGATGGCGGAGGAACCCGGAGCAGAGCAAGAGAAGCCGCAACCTTGAGGACAAGGTTGCTTCCCAAGGAGGCGGGGATGTTAGAAACAAACAATTTACAGCTTTTCATTATTTCGTATTATTGTCGGTTTTGATAATTGGGGGATCATTTGGGGTATTTTTATTATATGGGTAGCAGTTAGGTATTTTGCGGATTATATAATCTGCAGTAGGGAGTTATTTTGTGATTAAGCAATCAATTACAGAAAAACCTAAAACCTAATCTCTCTCTCTCTCTCTCTCTCCCTCTAGCGCCGAACTCTCTTCTCCCTCTTTCTCCTTGGCTGATCGGCAGCAGCCCTCTTCTCCCCTCTCTTCTTCCTAAAATCTCTATTCCCAATCCCTAGCTTGATCAATCCCTAATTGATCTAGCTAATTTCCCCAATTCTACAACCGTTAGAAACTTTGTTTCTAACACACGTCAAGATTTCCACAACTAGCACGAAAACTTAAACAAGTCATTATGCACTTGTTAGTAAAAATAAAGTCAATAGGAGTTGTTTCTCCGTTGATTTAAAAATTAGGGTTTTGTAATTAAAAAAAATAAGGATTTATCAAGGATTTGAGACATTATGCAATTGTAACGATTCTTTGTTTGTAGAGATGTTTTATCATGGATTTATGGGTTAGGAATTTAGAACTTAAAGTCCAAAATTACCTTACTATTCGTTTTTATTTGTTTGTCTTGTTTATGATATGTACGCTAAACAAGGGCAATACGTACTAGTAAGCATAATGTTGCCACAAGGACAATGCTAATAAACATTAAATTTTCATTTAAATTTTAAAGTATCATATATAAGTTATCAATTCTTTGTCTCCTTTTCAAAAGTAGCATATAACAACATATATTAGAACATACAGAACAAAGAATTCCATGATACATGAAAATGTCAAAGGAAACTAGAACACAAGAAAGGGAACAGAAAATCAAAATCATGTTTGCACATTAATTGAATATTTATATTGTTTTTTTTATTGTTAATTAATGATTAATTATAATGTACAATAGGTAAATGTGATGACAATCTTGAGATATTAAAAAGTCATGAAGGTATGCGAGTAAAATGTAAAATCCCATAATGAATTTATGGCATATTCCAAATCCCACATACACATGTGGAATTGACAAGTGCGTAGAGTCTATAATTGAGACCTTTAAAATCTGTCTAACCCTATGAATTTTATCCCTAAAAAAATTACAAACAAACAATAAATTTCTACGAATTTGATCGCTAAAAAAAAAGTACAAAGTACAAGCAAACAATAGATTTCCAGTACCAATCCAATATAGCTACAAAAATTATGGATTTCCCTTGATGAGTTACCACTTCCCAGCGCAGCCCATTTTTTGGAGGGAGAAAAGAGGGAGAAACCCGAATCTTCCAAGGAATACCAAGCTCCACCTTTATTACTTTCTGGGTTCTCCTTTCCCAAATATATATACACATTATTACATTTATACATGATCACAAACCACTCCTTGCTCCACTTGGAATTGGACACCATTATACATCCCTTTTATCACATTCTACGCAACTGGAACACAAGTGGAAAGATGCTCTCTAGCTATATAGTATATTTACACTTTCTTGTTATGAACAAACAAGTGGAAAGATGCTATGCTTCTGCTTTTTGGTACCTTAACCCATTATTTTGTAGCTATATCCAAACATAGTCTTCTACTCCATACACTACAAACAAACTACTTCTACTTCTACTACCTTTCCCCTTCCTTTTTCATCTATAATATGCATTCATATATTTTCTTCACAAACTTCATCATCTCCACTTGTGGTTTGCCCTACTGCTTCTGTATACACACATTATGCCCCTTTCCCCACCAAGTTGATGAGAAAGGGCTACTATGTTGACACCAAAAAGAAACCAAAGGGAAGCAAATTACAATACACTACTCTCTAGATCTGTGTTTGTTCTGTATAACAAGCACCATCCATTCTTCGGTTTGAGAAGTTTGTTAATTAAAATCTTTTACCATTTTTTTGCTTCAGTACTCTATGATGAGCCCTCCCATGGGGGCTCGGTGAGGTATCCCCTTCCTGCGCTTTGCTGTCCTGAAACTTGTCGAAGTTGGTGGTGGTGTTGATGGAGAAAAGCTCTCGATTCTGTCGATGATATTGCTGTACTTGCTCTTAAAATGCCTCGCCCCATGGCTATGGCTGCTGGTGCTGTGGTAGGAGTCCTCCGAGTCCGATCCCATTGCAGTTAATCGCTGCTGCTTCCTGATCTTCTGGAAGTTCCCTGATGTCCCAACAATCTAGGAACAAATAATACAAACCGACCAACATTAACCGAAAATGATCATCATTTGCCCATTCTCAGGTTGAAGTTATTGTTCAGGCGAGAGCAATTGCGTGATAAGTTCTGCATACCTTGCAACCGAGGGAGCAGAAGCGGAAGGAGTCGAGGAGGCTGCGCTCACAGACATCACAAGTGTTGGTGACACCTTTGCCTGGCCTTGGCTGAGGCCTTTCGTTCAAGAACACGACTCTAGCACTGTTGATTACATAGGTCTGGACGCCAGTGATGTCCAGTACTTTCTGTATCTCATTCACCCTGATCACATCATGGTAGGAAGACCTCCTTATCTAGGAAAAAGGCAAAACCAAAATGTCAACAAAGGAACCAATTGAAATCAATCAAAACTGCAGAATACACCCATTGAGTTGGTTCTAGTAAAGAAGACAACCATGAATGAGGATTGGGGAAATGGCAGAGTTCAAATGGGAATGCTAGGGATTTGGTGTCACACAAAAGCCAAGTCAATACACTTCAGTAAATAGGAGAAGACCCCTTTGAAATCAATCAAAAGTTACATAAACCATGGAGCTGATTGGAGTAAAGAAGACACAATGAATGGAGATTTTCCCTCATTGGTAAAGTCAAAGGAACGGTAGTGTTTGTGTCAGAATGATGAGAGAAACAGGAAACCCCTTTCATTTTGTAATCAGCTACAAAGAAAATCTCAGCGGAGCAAAGGCTGATTGGGGGAATAACCAATCAAATTTGAAAACCCAAATACAAAAAGTTACAAGCAGCAAAGCTAAATTTCAATGGATGAAACTAGTTTCTATACCTGAATGGCGAGATGGTCTTTGTGGTAGGCGAGGCACAGAGAGCAGAGTGGGCCATTCATACAATCCAAGCAGTACATATTGCACTCGCTCTTGTGGGAATCGGCATGGATTTTGCATTGAACGAAGAACCGCTCTCTCAGCAGCGGCTTCAACCATGGCGGCCACCTACCGCCACCATCCTCCTCTTCTGGACCTCCAGCACCCTGTTCAAACCCACAAAACAGAGTTGGTCAACTCGGTCAAACTTAGCTCAAATCAACTTTTCGAACCCAGAAACTACAAAAAAAAAAAAGACTGAAACCGCCATTGTAATCGCTTTTGAAAGAAGACCCAGAAACGAAAATCGGAACCAAACAACCACTGTAATCGCCCAGTAAAGAATGAAAGAATGACAAGAAAGAAATCAAAAGAGGGAGGAAGAAGGGTAGACGAGCTCTGTCTCTTCTCTTCCCCCCCCCCCCCCCCCCCCCCAAAAAAAACTCACCATGATTCTCCTGTTCTTGGGCTTGATAGCTGTGTCCTGACTATCGATCGCCAGCTTGAAACAACGACCCAATGAGCCAATGGCGGAGGAGAAAACAGAGGATTACTGAAGAAACAAAGTGAAGCTGGGAGTAAAGAGAGGGTTGGTTTTGAGAATGGCGAGCAGAGCTTTTGGGCAAAGTGAAGGCGGCTGAGAAAATCGGCTAGCGAGAGAGAGAGAGGGAAGTGGAGGTGAGTGGAGTCAATGGAAATGAGAAAATTGTTTCGGGGGAAAGAGGCATTGTTCTTATCCTCACCAAAAAGTCTACAGTAGGGCAAGCGCAAGGAGGAAGTGCGCGTTTCCTTCTTTTTGGCGCCAACATGCAATTTGGCGCTAAATGTTTATAGTTTGGTCTATTCAGTCTCTCAACTTCAAATTCATACAATCAAATCCGTTGACTTTCTTTTTTGAAAGAAGACTTTCCACTTTGTGGTTCATTCGAATTATAGTTAGCTTCAAAATGGGGGAATGCATGGAATCCTTACCTATATCTTTCTAGGTTACAGGAGAACAAAAAAAATATAATAATAAATGTGATGTTATTTCACAAGATGATCATATGTCTGGTAATAATAAGTTAATAACTAAACCTTTTATTTATCTATCTACATAGATTTAATAACAGAATTTATACAGCGAAGCCAACATCATAAAATGAAGTCTAGTAGTAAGAAATTTGGATTGATTAGCAACGTTGCCATTAGAAACAGGCCAAGAGGACCTAATCAAGATGTCTTGGACGGGTCAATCATTCACATGTGCTTTTCCAAGTATGTTGTTTGTGGTAGTGATTAAAAGACCGTTTCAATTGAGTTTCGTAGATCGATCCACAAAATCGTCACTAAAAACCCTCCACAGGACCTCAAGATAAAATACATTAACTCAGGCACCCGCAGTTGAAGAGATTCTTTCGATTACTCGTACGATGGACAGGCCAAGTCCTCGTCACATAAGAGAATTTCACTTTTGCAAGATGAAGGATTTTTATTGCCCTCTTTTAAAGTTGGAGGACTTCCAAAGCTGAAAGCATGAAAGTGGATGGACTAAAGATGAACTCTTAACCCTGGTGCGGTTCGCCGAACCTAAATTCCTTGCTCCTGACCTAAAAATCTCATTTTCAGAAAAGCCACGTGGAAAGAGAGGAGATGCGTTGCGAACAAGGAACCACCCTCCTTCTTTCGTTCTTTTTTTTTCCTTCTTCTTTTGTGTGTTTATGGAATTATTACACGATTAATTATTATATTTTGTTTTCTTTATTTTCCCATGGCTAACTCTTCCTATGATGTATCTACTAAAATTAGTGTTGATATGACTTGAATCGGATTATCAGCCGCTACGACTGGTAACCGGGGGTCTTGAGGACAGAGAAGAGGATTAAGGTGAAGAAGGTTGGCACCGCGGATAATCCTGCTGATATGTTCACGAAGCCGGTTCCACATGGCAAGTTCCAACACTGCTTGGACTTGCTGAATGTCTTGAGTGGGTGACTCCGCCCTACGGGGCATTGATGGCGGGAGAGAGAGAAGGAGCAGAGTACATCAGAGATTTCAGAGGAAGAGGATTCAAGTCAAGGTGGAGATTTGTTGATATGACTTGAATCGGATTATCAGCCGCTACGACTGGTAGGTTCGGGTTCTGGGCCTGGTCTGTAACCGTTTCCTTTGCTAGATTGGATTAGGTTTAGACCCACATGGAGAAGTACTATAAATACTTCTCATACTCCTCTGTAATCTGTAATCTCCTCAATATAGTGAAACGGCTCTCTCTCGCCCGTGGACTAGCTAACACACATCGTGTTAGTGAACCACGTAAATCGTGTGTCTGTGTTTTTTCGATTCTCGCTCTCGTATTCTTGCTTTATCGATTCCGGCAATTTCCCGATCCGTAGCAGCGCGTTTATAACAAGTGGTATCAGAGCCGCGGTTGGAAATCAGGCTAGGGTTTTCGATTCAGAAGAATGACGTCGGTGAACATGAAGATCGAAAAGTTCACGGGGAAGAACAGCTTCGCTATATGGCAGATCAAGATGCAGGCTTTATTGAAACAGCAAGGGCTGTGGGGGCCGCTGTCTGCGAAACAGAAGAAGGCAGCGGTCGATGACGATGAGTGGAATACCCTGGAGGAGAAGGCCCACTCGACCATCATGCTATCGTTGTCTGATGACGTCATCATCGAAGTCGCTGCTGAGAAGACTGCCGCGGGCTTGTGGTTGAAACTAGAGAGTCTGTATATGACTAAGTCTCTAACCAACAAGCTGCATCTCAAGCAACGGTTGTTCAGCTTGAGGATGCAAGAAGGTACGCCTTTGAGGGAACATCTCGAACAGCTTAACTCTATTTTGCTGGACCTGCGTAATATAGATGTTCAAGTTGATGACGAGGATGCTGCCCTAATCCTGCTGGTTTCTTTGCCGAGTTCATATGAGAATTTCGTTGATTCTTTTATTGCCGGTAAAGAAAGCGTGTCGTTGGAGGATGTCAGGTCTGCTCTTCATACGAGAGAGATCAGACATAAGGCGTCCGGATCTGGTACAGGTGGTGAGGCATCGGGTTTGGCTGTTACAGGTGGAAAGGGAAAGAAGAAATCTGGTAAAGGGAATTCGAGCAAGAATTCCAAGGGTCCCGGTCCACAGCCAGGTGATGCTTGTCACAACTGTAAGGAAGTGGGGCATTGGAAGTACAACTGTCCCAAGAGAAGAGGGCAACAGAAGAAACAAGGTTCAGTTGCCGTGGCAGAAGTGGACAACAGTTCTGAAGACGATCTCGCCTTGGCTGTAGATGAGAAGGCACATCGTGGTGATGTGTGGTTTCTGGATACTGCAGCCTCATATCATATGTCTCCGAACAGGGATTGCTTCACAACCTACGAGCAGATAGATGGTGGTAACGTGGTCATGGCTAATGGAGCTGTCTGCAAGGTTGTTGGAATCGGGTCCATAAAGGTTCGGACACATGATGGTTCGTTCTGTACCGTGAATGATGTCAGGCATGTTCCACGAATGACAAAGAACCTGATCTCCTTGAGTCTACTCGACAGCAAGGGCTTCAGCTTCAAAGGAAAAGGTGGAGTTGTGTATGTCTGCAAGGGTTCGAGGAAGGTACTGAAGGGCGTGAAGCGTGGGACCTTGTATGCATTACAAGGGTCTGTGTTGTCTGGTTCTGCTGCAGTTGCATCGTCTCAGGTTCAACAGGAAGATATGACCACTCTCTGGCACATGAGACTGGGGCATATGAGTGAACGAGGGATGCAAGTTCTATCGAAGAGGGATCTTCTTTGCGGACACAAGATGCAGAATTTGGAATTCTGTGAGCATTGTGTGTTTGGGAAGCTACATCGCAGCAAGTTTCCCAAGAAGGGTATCCACCGGACGAAGGGGATACTGGATTACCTCCACTCCGACTGTTGGGGTCCTTCACGAGTTGAATCCATTGGAGGCAGCAGGTATTTTCTGTCTATTATTGATGATTATTCGAGATTTACTTGGATTTTCATGATGAAGCAGAAAAGTGAGGCTTTCACGAAGTTCAAGCAGTGGAAGACATTGGTGGAGAATCAGACCGGGAAGAAGATCAAGAAGCTGCGAAACGACAATGGTCTGGAGTTCTGCAGTTCTGAGTTCAACGAATTCTGCAAGGATGAAGGGATTGCCCGTCATCGGACTGTTAGAGATACACCTCAGCAGAATGGCGTTGCAGAACGGATGAACCAGACATTGTTGGAGAGAGCACGGTGCATGCTCTCTAATGCTGGACTAGAGAGAAGATTCTGGGCAGAAGCAGTAAACATGGCGTGCTTCCTGATCAACCGTGGACCTCACACAGGTATCGAGTGTAAGACTCCTTATGAAGTGTGGTATGGTAAGCCTGCTGATTACTCTTCACTGAAAGTGTTTGGGTGTCCTGTTTATTATCATGTGGATGAGGGTAAACTGAACCCAAGGGCAAAGAAGGGTGTATTTGTGGGTTACGGAGATGGAGTTAAGGGATTTCGAGTCTGGTCACCTTCTGAGCATCGAGTTATACTTAGTAGAAATGTGATATTTGATGAGAAGTCTATGTTTAACCCCATGTTGAAGGTTACTGTTGCTGAAGGTAGCAGGAATGTTGATAAGCAGGTGGAGCTGCAAACTCTCAATGAGAGTGAGTTTGAGCACCAAGGTGGAGAAGATCAACATGATGAGGATGTCTCTGCAGAGCCAGAAACTTCAGAGTCCAGTGCACGAGCTCAACAGTCTATTGCTTCCGGTAGACCGAAGAGAGCGACTGCAGGAGTACCTCCACAGAGGTATGGCTTCGAGGACATGGTGGCGTATTCATTTCAGGTTGCTGAAGAAGTGGATGCAGGAGAGCCACAGTCCTATAGAGAAGCAGTTTCGGGCGGTGAAGCTGATCAGTGGCTTGCCGCAATGGGAGATGAGATGGAATCCCATGACAGGAATCAGACTTGGGAGCTAGTCAAACGACCACAGGGAAGGAAGATTGTGACAAACAAGTGGATCTACAAGAAGAAGGAAGGAATCACTTCCAAAGAGGGCATGAAATTTAAAGCTCGGGTGGTTGCACGAGGCTTCTCGCAGAGGGAAGGAGTTGACTACAATGAGATTTTCTCACCAGTTGTCAGACATACTTCGATCAGAGTGCTACTAGCAATAGTGACACATTATGACTTGGAGCTTGAGCAGCTAGACGTGAAGACAGCTTTCCTGCATGGAGAGTTGGAGGAAGAAATTTACATGACTCAGCCAGAAGGATTCGAGGTTCCAGGAAAAGAAGACTATGTTTGTAAGCTGAAGAAGTCCTTGTATGGACTTAAGCAATCTCCGAGGCAGTGGTACAAGAGATTTGACAGCTACATGCTTGAGCTGGGCTACAACAGAAGTCCATATGATTGTTGTGTATATCACAGCAAGGCAGAAGATGGTTCGATGATATATCTAGTTCTGTATGTGGATGATATGCTCATAGCTGCGAGGTCAAAGTCTGATATCCAGAAGTTAAAGGGGCTTCTCAGTGCTGAGTTTGAGATGAAGGATTTGGGAGCTGCTCAGAAGATCTTGGGTATGGAGATTTACAGGGACAGGTCGAAGAAGAAGCTTTTCTTGTCACAGAAGAGCTACATCCAGAAGATACTGTCGAGGTTTGGCATGTCTTCAGCAAAGCCCTTAAATACTCCTAGTGCTTCAAATGTTCATCTATCCTCAGCTTATGCACCGCAGTCAGAGGCTGAGAAGGAGTACATGTCG